TGTTTAGAATATGCACTTGCCGTTGTCCACTGGATACAGCTATGCTGGACCTCTTAGTTTCCTGAATACTGCGGGTTCTGCTCATCTCAGGGTCTCTGCCTTGGCGATTTCCTCTGCCCAGGAAGCATCTATTTCCTTCTAGCACGCCTTCTCTGTCTCCCCTGGGACTATAATATTGGTTTTCCCCTTTTCATTGACTCCTTTTTTCCCCCTTGCATTGAAATATGCCTTAAAATCCCACATCCCAATAAAAACATTAATAACGTTAATAATAATTTTATAAACATACACTGAATTCCACTGGGTGTCAACTATCAGATTAAGTGCTTAAACCTACCTTCTCATTTAATTCCCACAACAACCTGTTTAGTTTGACATATGAAAAGTATTGTTATGAAGAAACTGAAACTTTAGGTACATCAAGTAACTTGCCCAAGATCCTAGCTGGAAGGTGGCATCTTCCCTTCTCCACACAGCTCTGCCAAGCCACCGTTCTTTCTGCTTCTTCTTGGGAACACTCCACAGTTTCAGTAGTCGGCACTTTGTCATTCTGTGTGGTCCCCTGCAGTTGTTTGGAAACTTCCCACCATTCAGAAAGGACTGCTTGAAGGTCTCTAGTCTTAAGTTTGCATTCTACAGTCTTACCAGAGAGTTTGTCAATTGTGCCTGCTTGAGACTGTTCTCTCTTCGCTCTCATATCATGACCTCTCCACTGCTTCTCATTCATCTTTACTAAGTCCTTTTTCTTTTACTCTTTAAAGGTAAGATTTCTCAGAGTGTCACTTCTACGTAACTTTCTCTTCCTGCTCCACACGCAGCTGAGACGATTTCATTTGTTCTCAGGCCATCAACGATCCTGCTTTAATAAGCGCACATAAATCCTCACGGTCAATGTCAGCCCTCCCAGACCTGATTCCAACTCCTGGCTGGAATTTCCATATAGTCCTTCGACAAATTCCTGAAACTACAAGTGCCCACGTCAAACTCATTCTCTGCACCTGCCAATAAATTCTCCCTCTAAGGTTTACCTTCACCATGAAAATTCTTCCCCAGTCCAAAACTGGTATATTCACATCCAGAACGACCTGGGCACTCTTGAATTGGAAGAGGTTTAACCCTGACTTAGTCTCTGGGCAGCTGCATAACCTAGAACTATACCAGGGCTCTCCGGAGCTTGTCTGAAACCAACACTCAAGGACTAAATCATTCCTACAACACTTGTCATCTTTACTTCCTCTTCATCAGTCCCAGTAATAATGGCCTAGCTCTAGTCTTATTGCTTTTTTGCTTAGGCTATTATAATTAACCTGCCAGGAGCTGGCGCAATGGCCACGCAAGTGAAATTTTGAAACTGGACACGAAACCTGAATTTCTAGAAGAAAACTAGTGTAAATTTTCCATATAGTATTTGGAAACTCATGTTTCAGTATGTCATTAGCAAAGTGTAAGCAAGAGAGGAGAAAAGGCAGCGTCACATATCACAGGCAAGCATTTACTTTCTTAATTTACTCTGTCCAAATAATTCAACATACATATATGCACACATATACATATATACAAATAATTCAACATATATATGCACACATACACATATACGTGATAGCAAATATTTTTAGAAAGATGCTCAGTCTCATTAAATTAAAAAAAGAATCCAAAGTATGAGATATTTTCAATTTTTTGAAGAGTGAAGATAAACACTTTAAGATGACACCCATGGCTGCCAAAGGCATGGGGGAAAGGGCCCTCAGCAGAACTATTGACAAAATTATGAAGCAATAGAAACTTCTGGAAGTCAATTAATTACTACATATCAAACTGTAAGATGCATTGCTCCACTGAACCAACTACTCCATTACTAGGAATTTAAGCTTAGCAAGGTTTTTCTCTCTGTCTCTCATACACACACACACACCCCCCCCCCCCCAACCTGCTACTAGTGAGATTGGGGAGAAAAAAGAAAAGCAAAACCTGGGAACAGACAAAATGATAATCATTAAAAGACTGGTTAAGGTATATTTATGTGGTCAAAGGCTACTTCTAGTGTTACTTGCAAAGGAATGTGTTTAGCATGTGTAAATGTTCATGATGAAATATTTGTACTATGAGTTTTAGTGAGAAATAGAGGAAATAATATTTCTACACTGAAAAGTAATGTCAAGCACACATATATTCCTGACAGCCTCACACTTTCCAAGAATACCTATATATATTTTTATATACATTGTTTTTATCATCAGAAAATATGCCATAAAATGTTTCTCAACTTTTTGTTGCAAGCACAAAGGCAATTAAACAGCCTGTACTAACCCTAAGCCTTATATCCCCTACACTGTAAACACTATGTAGAGTCCACAGAATAGTTTTATTTTAAAAAAAATTAATAATTAACTAAATCTAAATCCCTAAAACTCTGAAAGCTCTGTTTAGGATTTGGTAATCGGAAAAAGATATGCTCCCACACAAAACCTAATCTATTCAGCTGATTCTATTTGCATTATCACATTCATCAAGCGCTGTCACCCAGTGTTGCTTAATCTGTTGTGTATGCATATAAGTAGAATCGGAATGCAAATGTCATTACAGCTACCACTCGCTCTCTGCAGGAAGCCACGGCATCTGACAACCCTTCACAGTTATCACTTTGGTAAGTAGCATAACCAGTGTGCCTGAATTTTTACTGCATGTCACTATGGGGAAAATAGCAAAAAGAGACCCATGTTACTGATACTGTCTGATGTCCTGCAATATTTCTGATGTAAAAATAAGTGAGTAAAGAGTAAATATTAGTCTGAAAATTGGTTTAAAAAAAAGTGATTCTGTTTAAGATAAAATATTTGGAGATTATCTGAAACAAAATGTTTGATTTTTCAGGATGGGATTTGAAAATATTTCCAGGATTTTGCTTTTGATTACAAAATTCTAGAACAGCTGCTAGTGACTCCATCATAAATATAGTATTTCCAATTTCACAAGCACCTTATTCAGCTATAGAAGGTATTGCTGCTGTGGCGTCAAGTTCTTCCAATTGTTCTGGGAAGCTAGTCTGTGAGATAGCAGGGGAGGTTATAAGATCACATAATCATTTTAAAAGTCAGTTAAATAAAAGAACTCATGAGTCTTTAATAAAGCAATATCAACACTTACTACACTAATGTGAACTCTGACTCACTCTGACATAGGATATGAATTGAAATATTTCCCAGATTTATTTGAAAATGAAACCTTTTTTAAGGACTAGAAACATTTTCAGTAATGCATAGATACTCTTGAATAAAACAAAACCAGCCATGCAGGAGGCTTCATGTTAAGTGTTATCCTGTGCTTACTTGGACAGGGCACCGTCTGGACTATTTTCTGTACAGTGTAGAATCTGGCAATCATAGGATCACCTCGGTGCACTGCTTTACATAGTACAGGCAGAAATTAAATATCATATTATTTATTACTTCAAACGAGGTGAATAACTGTTTGGTGTACAAGAAAGGCTGAGTGCTGGAAGTTAAATATCCCAGTTCTGATTATTTTACTACATTTTTCAGGAAAAGGAAGAAAAGCCAGGGAGAAATAAGCTTATATATATATATGAGCTTATTAATTATATATTAATATGGAAGTCAGGGGATTTTTTTTATTTGTTTGTTTTTGTGAGCCTGAGCAAATTACTTACTCTCTCAGGGTCTCGGCTTACTCATCTGTAAGGTTAGGAGCTCAACAGAATGATGTGTAATTTTCTCTGTTTCTAAGTGTTCTTCATCAGTAAAATTCAGAGCATCAGAGGAGGAAAGTGAGAATTCATGCGTGCTAGTAATATTTCCTCTCATTGCAAGCCTGGGGAGAAGAATAGGGGTTTTCGGCTACCACCTTGGAAGACAGACAACCTTTATATAAGATCCTAGCACTTCCTACCAGCCTCTAAAGGGTTGTCCAGGGCCAAGGAATCAAGATCCATAATGTTTACCTTCTTTTAAGATTCACTTCCTTTATTTGAAAGGCAACGTGACAAAGAGAGGACAGGAGGGAGGAATGGAGAGAGAGGTACAGGGAACTCTTGCTTATGTCAGTTCACCATCCCAAATGGCCGCAACAGTCAGGGCTGGGTCAAGCTGAAGTCAGCACTGGGAACCCCATGCTGGAAGCCTGTGTGGGGAGCAAGGAGCAAGCACTTACGCTGTGCTTTCCCAGGTACACTAGCGGAGAGAAGGATAAGAAGCTGAGCATCTACAGTTTATCTTCTAATCAATTCTCTCACCTAAAAATTCAATTGTTCTCTCAGCCTTTTAGAAGAGCTGATACAGCACAAGAACAATACTTTTAAAAAGGAACAATTATTGGTAGAAGTCCAGGCAACACCAGAGAACATACAAGGCTTGGGGTTGAGGGAGGAGTGCACACCTAACGGTTAGGACGCTTGCCTGTGTCTGCTTTGCAATGCCTAGGCTCAGGGCTCAGTTTCAGCTCTTGATCCTGGCTTCCTGCCTTTGTGGACCACTGGGGACAGCAGTAACGACTTTGGTGGTTGGGTTCCGGCCACCCACATGGAAGAACTGAGCTGGCTTTTCAGTTCCCAGTACTGGCCCTGCCTGCCTCTGACCTCTGCAGGAATGTGTACAATTAAAACAGAGAATGGAAATGACTTCTCTGAAGGCGCCTTTGTGTGTTTCTCCACCTTGCAAACCACATCATCATACAGCATGTATTATATATACTTATTTATCCTATACCATTGTGTAAAAACAACCTCAGGATTCCAATGCCAATAGTACTATTAATAATAAATTCACTTAATACAATTTAAGGTTCTTTGCAGTTCTTGTTCTCTAAGTGCTAACAGGAATGTGGCCAGAAAACTTTGCTCAAATTTTACTTAAGTAATTATTTTTTCTCTTGGGCTACTTTATCAATTGCATATTGAGCTAGCCATAGTTCTTTGCAGTTTTCAAGTTGGGATAATTGAACTAACATTCTATTTTAATCCAGCAGAAGCTTGAAAACTGACCAAAATGAAGTATTCAACCAAAAAAGTTCCCTCAGCAAAGCTGAACAGCACATTAAGCAACACCTCGGTCAAGCCTGGCAAGCCAAAAAGTAAGGATTTAAGCATCCCTAAGTGTTCTGCATGCTTTTAAAATGTGTCATTAGGTCTTTATTATTCTGATGTTCATCACGGTATTTTATTCAATCTTACTTAGAATATAAGAGCTAAAATTAAAAGGGATGGCCCACAATATGGCAGCAGCTTTAGTTTTGAGCAGACACACAGTCAGCCTTTTTATATACAGGCAACTCTTGCTAATTTGCTACATCACAGGACAGTGATAGCTTAGATAACTTAAACCTGTAACTAGTGATAAATGTAAATATAACATTTTGTATCAGTCCTTTCTTTCTCCATACCACCTGCCACCAAATCCCAAAACCTTTTTTTTTTTTGTTATTAACTTGTAAAATTTTTATGCTGATCCATTTTTCTTCATCAAATATTTATCTATCAAGATATCTGGTATTCCAAGCCCATGGTGTGGACTTGTGACTTGGTAAAGGAAATAACATCAAATGAATAGAACCGAATAATCGAGTCCCCAAGTAAAGCAAAACCAACCAACAACAGCAGGGAGAGGCAACAGCTCTGAGATGAAAAGACTACAGACATCTTTGACTCTTTAACTTATCTATCTTGAGAAGGAATGACGTAAATGAATCTTACATGAGAGCAGTAAAACTAAAGTGATAATGGAGTCCCTGTGGACTGCAAAAATATGGAGGACGAAGACTGACTCACTCTCAGGTCATGGCTCACCCATGTTGTCCCTGGGTAGCCAGGGAAAACACTGTGGTTTTCCAATTGCCAAGAGATAACAGGCAAGTTCTTTCAAAATATTCTGTGCAGAAATGGTGATTCAGTGGAAGTGCTTCCACAACCCTAAACTCTCAAAAAAAAAGAAAAAAAAAAAAAGCTCTCCAGAGGTGCTGGAATGAGGGGAAGCCAGAGTTGTGGGCATTCACACAAAAGTTGAAACGTAATCCCACCTTGAAGGGTTCAGTGACCCTGATGGCTTATCTGCACCACTGGAATACATTACATTGTTACTACTGTTCCTTAGAAAATCTCCTTCTCAAGAATATTATCTTGGCTTAATATTAAAATTGTAACTACTTAAACACTCCTGGTGAAAAAGTCAACAGATACAAGAAGGTTTTTGGCACGTACAAACCACTTCTTAAGACCTGAAGTGGAAGAAATAGTATATCTTCTTTTTCCAAATGAATTGATTTCTGTGCCCCCAATCAACAAGAGTACACATCTACTTCCTTCTCCTCCCTTGCGCTACAAAATCTACAGCTCACAAAGCCACAAATTTCCAGCTGCAGTCACTACAGGCCTGACCCGAAGCAGCAGAAAGGGCAGGTGGGACTAGACTTCAAATACATTTGAAAGGTAAAGTCAATAGGGGTTAATGATAAGCTGAACAAACTGAGGGATGGAGAGAGATGGAAAAACGCACACTCAGTATTAGGAGTGTATTTTGGTTTGCGGTAAGTCAGTTGGGTAGAAAAAGCCAGAATTCAAGAGGATCGACATAGAAACAGAGCAAAATGTTTTAAGAAGGCTGATCCCAAAGGCCCTGGGGAGAAAAGGCAACAGATAGCTCAGGGGGAAGATCAGAGATAGTGTTACAGTTAGGGGAGTTACCAACCTCTAAAAATACAGCGGAAGTCACGGAAGTCACGAGCAAGCAAGAGTTCCTAAAAAGAGAATTTAGAGGCCGAGAGGTCAAAGGATGAAACTTTGAGGAACATCAACATTTCAGGAACAGAAGAGGAAGAACCAGCAGACTCATATGGGTTCATCAGAGAGAAACAAACGGAACCTAAGGGGACTGGTAACACCGCGATGAGAGATTCAAAGAGGGACGTGCTCCCCGAGGTCAACCTCACAGACCATCAGGGGTAGTGAGCAGTGAGCAGAGATCTCTGGTGTGCGGGTGTCTGATTCGCTTCTGCAGTTTCTGTGCGCTATTCTCAGAAGGATTCCCAGGTCCCTCCATCTTTAGCTCATCAGAAATGTCTGCGCAGACTCAGGCTGTGGCTGCGATGATTCTGGCGCTCATCATTTCCTGCCCAGCTGTGCTCAGCCGCTGCCCTCAGACAGCAGGCAAGCAGCAGACCTAAGAAGTGACAGCAGCCCTTAGCTGAGCTGCGGGTGGTTGGCTGACCACCCAGTGGGGTGCTCTCTCCAGCAGAGTCCCCGTGTCCGTGACAGCCTCACATTTTCCATGATGCAACAACCATTTCAGCGGTCAGACACCAGTCTTCTTCCGTTGAAATTTGTATGTTCATTGTTCATCCCGTTTGATTGTAGCCCTTACTTCAGCATCCTTAACTGTCTTCATAATTTCCTTCTTCTACATTCACCACACTTGCTGAGTGCCATAATCCTTACTTCTAATTACTCTAAAGCTGTATCCTAATTCCCACAAAGCTCCTACTCAATATTAGACATGTCTATAATGTGCCTATGTGATGCTCATCGCAAAACCTAGACATACAAGGCATGAGTATGTCTTCAGAATTGTCTTACATGACTTGCCAGGACACCAAGCACAATGCTATTTCTGCCATTTGTTAGCTTTGTAAGTTACCTTTATAACCATAAAATATAATCATTCATGCGAGATACTATAGTTCTAAATTGCAGCAATGTTAGGGAGGTTCAGGGCTAGATGTGGATATAAGTAAGTGGACTTCCTCTCTTCAGACAGTTCAAAATGCCTAAAGACAAGCATTCTTTTGAACTGGAAGCAAGAAATATATAATTTAAAATAGCTAATAATAGTTCAGTCCGTTTGACTTTGAAAAACTCTGTCAGGAAGGAAAACCTTCTAGAGAATCTTTAAAGCCATACAGTGGGGTCACAAGGTCACAATTCGTTTCTTTCCTAACTTACCGTGAATATTGAAACTTGACTATATCACATAAGTTACTTGGTAATAATCTACTATAACATTTTGCCAGCTGATATTCTAGGACTCAAGTGTTGTAGCTTTCTATTACAGCTTTCTATTTGGCTCTGAAAGGTTTTCTAATTTCTAACTAGCAAGTATAATTTTCTCTTCGAGACTCATCTTTCTAAGTGAGATAAGAATTAGTAGATAATTTATTAATTTTTAAAAATGAACTTCCAAAAAATATTTGAAAGACATCAATTTTTTTTCTCACTAGTTCACTCCTCAAATATCCACACTGGACCAGGCTAAAGTCAGAAGAACCCCCATTCCATCCAGGTCTGCCATATGGGCTACACACACTTAAGTACCTTGGCTATTATTTGTTACATTCCTAGGGATATATACAGGAATTTAGAAGCAGAGTAGCTGGGACTGGGAGTGGTAGTCCAGTGTATGTTGTGGGCATTGCAAGTTGTGGCTTAACTGCCTCTGTTACAATGTCTACTTCTATTTACTTATTTTTATTTATTTGAAAGGCAGAAAGACAGAGAAAGAGTTTGATCTTCAATCTGCTGGTTTACTACCCAAAACCTTCCAACAGCTTGGACTGGGCCAGGCCAAAGCCAGGAGGCTGTAATTCCCCGGGTCTTCCACCATGTCAGGAACCGAAACACTTTAGTATCATCCACTGCCTCCTAGGCTGCGTATTAGCAGCAAGCTGGAAGGGAAGCGGAGCAGCCAGGCCTTGAACCAAACACTCTGATGCAGGACATGGGTGTCGCAAGCAGTGGTCTCACCTGCTCTATCACAATGCCCAACTCAGTTTTATTATAATTTAAAATAAACTTCTATTTTACCAGTCCCTCAAATCACAATGTACCTTTTAAAAAAAAAAAAAAAAAAAAAAAAAAAGAGGGGAAACAATGTAAGGAACACTCTGATATCAGACACACTCCTGTCACAACTTCTCAGCAACTCTGCAACCTTGACCAAAAGCCACAACTCCAAAGAATCTTGCAGGGTCACCTGCGGAATGGGCATCACAATGCTTACTATCAGCTCAGTGCTGGGCCCACTGTGGGTACTTAGGAAAAAAACTTAATTCAATAGCAGTAAGTTTAGTAGACTATCCCTCTATAAAGCTATTGAAAATGGTCTCCAGGTAAGTTGAAAAAAAAATCTCCGATTTCAGGCAACCACAATAGTTCTTCGAAAGCTGTAAATTCTGCATGTGGGCCCATACTTCCTCATACAAGTTCCAAAAACCAACATTATGTTCCAGAAGATACCAAATTTTTCACAACTCATTTGGCAGCAAAACATGACCAGAACACCTTTGTCATTTAAACCCTGACTTGAACTAATTGAAGCCTACTTCACTATGTGTGAATTCTCCTGTTTCACTATAAAATCAAGCCACTTGTAACCATCGAGGGCTTTTTTTTGTTATTAAGTTGCACCTGACCAAAAGCCACTGCATATGTATAGTATATCTACACAATACATTACTGATACTGTATATGACCTGTATAATATACCACATATATATGCACATTATAATTCTAAAAACTCTGAATTGTAAATACGAGTTTCTCATGGGCCTGTACTTTGTGTTCTTGGTCTTGTGCAACTCTGAGGGTTTGTAAAAACATACAGATGGCTAGGATGAAGCAGCATTATCTCTTTTTTATTGTTTATAGAGGTCCAACGGAAGACTATGGAAGTCTCCGCTACGTACTGCATGAGTCTGCGCTCTGGCAATACCATAAAAAGGAGCTGCTACTACTACAGGAGTTACAGCACCAGAACACGGCCGGAGAAAACAGGTAAGTGTCAAGGAACATTTCCTGGCAACAGTGCTGGGCACCTGCTCACCTTCACTCAGCACGAATGAATACATCGTTCTGCCCCCCTCCCCTCACCTGAATTTCCTTTCTGGGAAAGAACAAAGATGATGAATTGTGATTGGGCAACTTTAAAGAGGGCATGTATAAAGACTTTTTACATGCAGAAAATGAGTGGGAAAAAAAGGATATATAGAAGTAAGTTTACAATATTTTTCATTGTTTTTAAACTTTTAAGGTAAATTAAAGTGTAGTGAGCATCTGTGAATTTATTTATTTATTTGAAAGACAATTACAGAGAAAGAGAGAGAAAGAGAAAGAATCTATCCACTGGTTCACTTTCTAAATGACCACAACAGCCAGAACTGGGCTGGTCTGAAACCAGCACGCAGAAGCTTCTCCTGTGTCTTCCATGTGGGTGCAGGGACTCAAGCACCTGAGCCATCCTCTGCTGTTTTCCCAGACTGGATGGGAAGCAGAAGAACTGGGATGTGAACCGATGTCCGTATGGGATGCTGGTATCACAGGCTGAGGATGGGTGTCATACCATGGTGCCAGTCCCATGAGTGCTTAATTCTTTACTTCCTGCTCTGTTGCCCTGAGGTGAATTGCGCAGACTGCTCCCATCAGACTCTGGGTCTCCACAGCCCTGTAGTCAGTAACATTATCAACAATCAGTCTTTTTTTTTTCATTTTTAATTATTATTATCATTTTATGATACAATTCCATAGCCCTGGGATTTCTCTCTCCCCTCCTCAAAACCCCTTCCCCCCACTAAGTTCCCCTACATTATTGCTATAACACAGTTCTTCATAAATAGTCATGTGTCCATCATTGTGGGCACGGACAATGGCAGAGACGCCAGCATCCTACTGTCAATTATAGTTAACAGCTTCTTTGGGAGTCCATCTTTGATGTGAAAGTAGAGATGCATACTGCATTGTATTCTCACGTCTGGATATGATAGTCTATTACACAGTTACTATATAACCCCTTAAACTAAAAGCCACAAAACAAAAGCAACAGAAGAAAAACAGAAATTTACAATGACATAAATTAAATAACATGCTACTGAATGACTAATGTGTCGCTGAAGAAATGAAAAAGGAAATCAAGACCTTGAAGAAAATGACGATACTCTATCACCTATGAGTCACTGAAGAATTTAGTAAGAAAAAAAACCCCTGTTTTTAAGAAATGAACCTAAAAACAAAAACATCAAAATCCATAAGATAGTTGTCTGCTGATCTTTGTTGATGTGTCTCCTGTAGGCAACAAACAGATCGATTCTGTTTTTTTCAATCCAGTCTACTAATCTATGATGTGTGATCGATGGATTTAGTCCAGTTACATTCAGAGTTAATATGAATAGGTGGTAATTTGGTCTGTCATTTAATGGGTTGTTAATTGATTTACTCTTCTGTTATTTTACTGGGATGTTCTTCACATTTGCCTTTGGTTTTGGTGGGTGCTATTCATCTTCTCTGCCAAGAGAACATTTTAAAGTATCATTTGTATGGCAGGTCTGGAAGAAGCATATTCTTTTAACTTTTCTTTACTGTGGAAGAAATTTACTTCATTTTCAAAGACTAAGGAAAGCTTAGATGGTTACATTATTCTGGACTGACAAGTGTTTCCTCTTAGAATCCAGAATATGTTGCTCCATTCTCTTGTGGACTGTAGAGTTTCCTGGGAGAGGTCAGCAGTAAGTCTGATTGAGGTTCCTCTGTATGTCAGTTGATTTTTTTTTCATGTGCACATTTAAGGATCTTTTTCCTCATGTTCCACTAAACAGAGCTTGATGATCATGTGTCGTGGTGAAGATTGCTTTTGGTCAAGCCTGTTGATTTGTTCTGTGCCCCTCCTGGATGTTGTTTCCCAATTCTCTCTCTAGATTAGAGAATTTTTCCTTTATTATTTCATTAAACACATTTTTAAACCCAACTTCTCTTTCTGCACCTTCTGGAACTCTCATAACTCTTATATTTTGGCCTTTTAGCTATGTCTCTTAATTCTTGAATGCATTTTTTTAGCTTCACCCAGACCTAATTAGCTTTAATTTTTTTTTGTTATTCCCCCTACTGTAACAAGAAATATCTTCTGAGATTTTTTCTATTGTTCATTCACTCTATTACTGAGATTTTACACTGAATTTTTAATTTGTTCTATTGTGTTCTCCGTTTCCAATAATTCTGCTTGATTTTGTTTCAGTGTTGCTATTTCCTGTGTGACATACTCCTTAAATTTCTTGAACTCCATATGTTTTCTCATTGTTGATAAGAAGCTTCACAATGAGTTTTCTGAATTCCATATCCCCCATTTTCTCAATGTATTCCTCAGTTAACTCTGAGGTTAGCAAAGGTCCTTGCTCCTTTGCAGGGGGATCTTCAGTAATATTTACTGTGCCTCTGTCTCTTATTTTGCTCTTGGTCATTGTACTTCTGATTAGCAGATTCTTCTCCTTAGGGCAAGTTTCTAAGCCACAGGTCTACAATTCAATTTTGCTTATGGTAAGTGATACCAAGTTCTTCGTTTGCAGTCACTTGTGCAACTCCCTCGAGTGAGTTTCAGATCTAGGCTCTTATGTTAGCCTTCCAGCGTGGTCTCTGTAGCCCCAGCTTCTGGCTCAGCACTCTATGTCCTGTGATCCTATGCAGATGCTACACTGTTGTCTGTCCAACCTTTCTCCCACCTCTGGTTTGGGCAGTTCCCAAGATTAGGAAGACACCAGATCTCCTACATAACTAGGTTGCTGGTGGTGCTGAACTTGCCGGAACCTGTTGGCTGTTAGATCTGAGGGCCACTCGGACCTATTTTGACCCATACGATGCCAAAGTTGGTATTATTTTCCCTGTGGGACCAGTGCAATGTACTAAACTGGAAGTGAGTTCACTCCCAGTTCAGCGCATGTACAGCTCACTGTTGTCCCTTCAGTCTCAAAGCCTTTGCCACCTGTATAAAATGGCACCAGGAGTGCCACTCATGGAGTTTTTGATCTGGTGGCTGTTACGTCTATGGGCTACCCATATCTATTTTGGATGAACCTGTAGAACATCATGTAGTTGCAATGCACTGAGCCAGGAATGAATTCACTCCCAGTTTAGTGCCTGTGCATTCAGTGTCCCATAGCCATTGCCTCCATACACAAAATCGCGCCCACTGAGGCTCTGGTAGGGGTCTGGGCTGCGAAATCCACCATGTTCCCACACCACCCATTTGGGATCTGCTGTTCTGTCTCTGCTCCTAGTCAAATCAAACAAATCATCAGGACAGGCAGTTCTCTGGGTTCACCTCCTGAGCTCCTAGTGAACTCCCTCTGCCACCCTGTTGGTGGAGTTCTGGCCACCAGTGGAGTTAAGACAGCTGCTCACTGAGTGCCGCTGGGGTATCTGGTCACTGCGCCACCACATGGTTGTCTCCGCTGCTTTCCCAGTCAGTCAGTCTCCAGGTGCCCCTCTGCTGTCGGTCTGTCCTCTCCTAATGAGATGAGCCCTCTATGCTTCACCCTGGCTAACGTTTCTCTGTCTGTTTAATCATGTCCCTCCCCTATTCCATCATCTTGATTCTCTCAGCAGTCAGTCTTGACTGGCAATCATCAAAAGGGCATGTATGCAGAATGGGAACTGGCAGTTCACTTCCTTCCCTCCTATATTCTGCAGGTGGAAAGCTCAAAGATCCTTTTTGCTGTACGAAAGTTGAGCAAACAGAATCTCATGAACCTCCCATGACTGAACTGTCAGCACGTCGGAAGCAGATTCCTGTCTATAGAGAAAATGCTCGACGTGCTCAAACTAACGTGATTGGTGAGAGAGGTAGTGTAGAAGTTTGCAGGGAGTTAGACCCAGAAGCCAGGAAGCCCCAAGTCTGTGTTTTCATATGATTTCAAATGTCTGTCGATTCGTAACTGATGTGTCTATTTAGTGGAACACAAAGTGGCTATAACACAGTGGTTCCAACAATGTGTGTGCATTCTGCAGTTCATATTCTAACACTAATTTTAGTGCTTCCTCTGTGCTGGAATCCCACATAGATTAATCCTGGGAAAAACACATTATTCTTTAAGTAAAAAGTACTTTATCCCCCCATTCCAATATTTTGACCATGAAAGAACAGGAAATTCTTGCTGCCATTTCAAGCATTAATCCTAATATAAATGTCTTACATGCTGAAAGCAGTTCTAAAGTTTCTCATTAAGTATTTAAAAATAACTTTTACAATTGCACATCCAAATCCAGTGTTTAAGATCCCTTTACTATTCTATGTATTCGCTTTCTTAGCATAATTCTAGAATATGGAGGAAACATAAATTCTTTCTTTTCTGCAGGCCTCATACTGGGGGTCCCGAAATATCTCCCAGTAGACCTTAAATGCACCAACATGACCTATGAGTGCTGTGAGCTCTGCTCCCAACGTGCCTGGGTTACCTAATTGAGGATAGCTCACCCCTACATTCCTCCTGGACAAGTGGAAGTCTTACACATAGGCACCACTTACCTAGTTGGCCAACATAAAGGCCCACTTTCCCATGGTCCCTGTCATCATGGGGAGCCAGGAATTGGAGGTTTTCTTCGCCAATGTCTGTCCCTCCCTTTTCTAGCTTCTTTTTTCCCACCAGATCCAGTAAGCAGAGAGCCACCCAGGGCCTCCATGCAGAAAACTAGTACCTTTAACCCATTCAGGTGTCAACTTTTCAGCCTTACGGCTAAGAGAAGCTTACACCAGAGGCTTGCATCTAGCCTGCTTTGACAAAAGTGAAGCTCAAATAAGGGAAAAGAAAAAAAATTTATGATGAGGCATTTCAAAGTACAGTGTCGCTGAAAAAAAAAACAACAACTATATTCCTGGGAATCAATATTTGGAATTCTCATGACAATGATTTCACTTCTAGCTGACTACAAATCCCTGAGTACATACTACGATAAATTCATTACTTTTGCCTTGGAGGGTGAAAATTACGTGATCAACGTGGAAGATTTGGGAAAAAATCAAGAGAAAGGTAGGCTATTTCTTGTGTCTAGAATGTGATGTTGATGACAAGTACAGATAGACAATAAACAAATAAATAAATAAATCTGCCCAACCCTAAGCAAGACAGTAACTTGGACAAGGCAAACAGATTTCATGTGCCAAGGCAGTGCAATGAAGGCCCGCGCATCACTAGGTTTAGAAGGCTTCCGGAGCTTATTCAGGGCTGCTGAGGGGTGAACACTGATGTTGAGAAGCAGTGTTTCTTGTGACACATGGGAGGAAGGACCACATGCAATTACTGTTAGTTAATTCACCCACTGCAGCTTTCTGGTCCTAGCAATGTGACCAAAATATAATCCTTAGTTTAAAAAGATATCAGTACAGAGATATCAGTAGCCTTTTAGATAGTAGTCATAGCCTTTTAGTGGCTGTGATTTTTAATCACACCTGTGTAGAAGAATTCATCAGAGCATATTCATATCTTGACATCTTTCTCAAAAGATAGCAAAAGGAAAGGATAGCCTCTGTTGTTACATACTTACACATTGGAACTGAAACGTTTTGAAAAAAAATTTGCATCTCATCTAAGTGACCTTATGCATTCTCTTCCAGACAGAGTGTCACTGCATTACTATACGTCTCCGCGTCCGGCAGGTAAGTCAGGTAACCGGGTGGCTTGGGTGGCTACAGGGCTTGAATTAAGTGTGTTGTAAAACAAAATGCTCCACGAGAAAGCAAGGGGGTACCAAAACGATCCCTCCAATTCAAGCTCACGGTAAAATTTCAGCTTCTTAGATGATGTTATGCCAATCCATCAATTTTGCAGGTTAACAGTGAGGATAAAGGTTTAGTTCCATGTAACTGAGATCCAAAACAATGGGAGTTTAAACTAGACAAAGCTTTATTTCTGTCTTTGGTACGGCTGCAGGGGCAGTTCTGCTGGATGGTTGTCTAGGGATCCACATTCTTCTGTCACCGTAGCTCTCTCAGCATCCACGGAGTTCAAGAGGACTTGCCACCACGACAGTGTCCAATCAGCAGGGCAGGGAAAGATGGAGACATAGATTCTCTTTCCCTTTACTGCACAACCTGAAAACTGCACCTAATACTTTTGCTTCACATTGGTCAGAACTTCGTTCTAATGCTAAACCTAGCCGTAAGACGGCAGGCTGGGAAATGTTCTATTATTATATGAGAAGAGGAGATGGACATTCGCCATGAGAGCAACAACTGTTGCTTTCTATAAATAAAAGGGAGCTAGTGTCCAGAAAGTATCCATTAAAAGCATACTTACGTATTTAGAAGGTATCTTCAGAGACCAGTGTTGTGGTGTAGCACATTAAGCTGCTGCCCATGATATAGATTTCAGTCCAGCCACTCAACTTCCAGTGCAGCTCCCTGCCAACACACTTGGGAAGGCAGTGGAAGACTGCACCAGTGTTTGAGCCCCCGCACCCACATGGGATATCTGAATGCAGGTCTTTACTCCTGGCCTAGCTCTAGCTGCTGAGGCCTTGTGGAGAGTGAACCAGCAAATACGTGTCTCTGTGTCTATCTTTGTCTCTGTGACATTGCCTTACAAATAAACAAATAAATATTTTAAAAACAAAGTATATTTTTTTAAAAAAAACTCTCCATCAAGGGATTTAGAAGTACCCACTACTTATTTAATAATGTTGGGTACAAATACTTCTGAGACCCGATAGTGAAATGAAGTAAATTGCACACAACTTCTTAAATTCATTTCTTGAGTGTTAAAGTCATTCAAATCAGGAAGAGTTAAAAGTGTTAACTTTATATAATTTGCAGAAAAATTTACATGTATTATGTACCACCACATTTTTTGAAGTATAACACACTGTGGAATCATTAAATCCAACTCATTAGCAAATGCATGACCTCACACAGTTGTTGTTTTAATTGTAAGGTGGCGAACCGAATGGTTATAGACCAGTGGTAAATATCAGTCCAACGAAATACAACGGATTACTGCTGTATGCCAATGAGAAGCAGTGCTCTGTGAAGGTAACACAAACTTGACGATGTAACTGTCTTGATCATCTCCAGTCATTTCTGTAGATTTCAGTGTTTGGGACTTTCTCAGGAACTCAGATATCGCACATAAAATGTACCAATTCCTTTTAATGACTTGCTTCCAGAAGAGAGGGGAGAGAGAAGTATAAAGGATGATCTTGCTACTAAAAGTGCGAGTTGTTCCACCAGCCGGGAATCCCCGACAGCTTGCTAGAAACGCAGAACTTCAGGCTCCTCATGACTGACACAGGATTAGCTTCTTAACAAATGCCGAACGTCTAGAAGATTCATATGAGCATTAAAGTTTGATAAGCACTGCTAGGTACAGTGATCGGAAATTCTATTTAGCTTTACGAACTACTATGTTCTTCTAGGAAGCGTTTTTTCATAAAACACAAATTTTCTTAGACAAATACAAAAATAATTTAAGATTCTAAAGAAAAGACCATAAACGTTTCCAGTTCCAAGATTATGGCTAGACAATAATCTACATTCTGATTAGAGAACTCACTGTGCACTTTCATTTAGTAATTGTCTATATTACATTGGTCATAAGGAGGAATTATACATATTTTGGATAACAAACAAGCTAAAAATTGAGGCAAAGAAGAAAATGAGAGCATAATAAGAAGGTATATTAAATACATAAACAAAATTTTAAAACTAAGATAGCTGTGTAAAGTATTATTTACATAATAGTGTATTTTCCTTAACAAAATATTCATAAGTATACATAGCAGAGTGTCTGACATACGTAATTATTCATTAATAGAAAATAACTAACACTGAGCTCTATTTATTTCATATGAAGTACCTGCTAAATGTTTTATAAGCACCATCCAATTTAATTCTCATAGCAGTACTTTGATAGCGTTATAACATTGGACAGCTATTGTTACATCACCAACCATCCTCAAGACATAATGGCTTTTAAAAATGACCAGCTACATTACTCGTAATTGGACACTGATGTTAAAAAATATGACAAATTAAAAAATCAAGAGTTAAAGCAACATGCTCAATGTCTCAAAAATACCATGTGACAAAAGAGCGGGAACAAGTTTCAGATTGGTAAAACCAGAGCCACGCATCTGAAGCCACACCACCCCTCTAAGAATCCCATCAGTGAACCAAATCAAGCCCTGCCCTCACCTCGTGCCCTTTACTCACGTCTTCATTCCTCTCCCTTACTTAGTAAGCAGACCTGCTTGAAATACCATAAAGAGCTATTCCCTGTTCTAGTTTCTAAAACAGGAAGGGGAAGTTGACTCTGGATTCCTACTTCCTAACTAATGGCTTTTTCTCTTGTTTCTTCAGCTACAAAAGAGTGAACAACAACCCCCAGACCAAGCCTCCTTCTTCTACCTTCACGCTGAGTCCTCGGAATTTGTTTCATTTGAATGTAAAAACAAGAGTGGAACATTTCTAGGGGTAAAAGACAATCACCTGGCTCTAGTAGAAAGAACCTACTCAGGCATTGAGAATACTCTATTTAAACTCTTAGAATAGGTGATGGAAAATTGGATCCTGCCCTTGGAGGTCAACATGTAGTCACTGGAGCAGGAATAAGAGATAAGGAGACTCAGAACATCAAGAGAAATGGAGAGCACTTTAGAAACATACACAATGGTTCCTTCTAATGGGCAGGATTTGCTTTCTAACCCTTCAGCTCTGTTTTTACATTCCTGTGCAACATTGCATATTCAATACAAGCATGGTTATATTAAATAGGGTATCAATGGGCAGGTATTTAGGCAACAACAGTTAAGTTGCCACTTCGGACACCAACATCCCACATCAGAGTCCCTAGGTTTGAGTCTTAATTCTGCTTCCGATCTAGCATTCTGCTAGTGCATACCCTGGAAGGAAGCAGATGACACTCTGCTACTTGGGCCCCTGATACCCTGGGGGAAGACATGGATTGAGTTCTGGGCTCCTGGTTTCCTGTCAGGCCTAGCTCTGGCTAGTGCATGTATTTGGGGAGTGAAATGGGAATAGAACATATCTCTTCCTCTTTTTCATTCTTGTGAGTGTGTGGGTTTTTTTTTTTTTTCTCATTCTGCGTCTCTCTCTTTCTCCCTCCTTTCCTCCTATTCAAGTAAATAGTATATTGGTAAAGAAACTTGCCAGTATTTTAAGAAGCTACAACCTGATCTTTTTTCCATTTTGAATCAACTAAAGATTTCATAGTTAGAGCTGAAACTTCTGGGAATGAGCAAGGTCCACAGTTGAGGCTACCCTTTAACAGGAGTCTGTTTTAAAGAACAATATAAGGTTCATATGGCACACAGAATCAACATTAAAATTTCAATAACTGGACATTGCCTGTATTTGTAAAATACCAAGTCCCTCTGATGCTTGTTTCCAGGGATCTATGATTTTTTTTAAAGATTTATTTTTATTATGTTTTTATTGGAAAGGCAGATATACAGACAGGAGAGACAGAGAGGAAGAGCTTCCATCCGATGATTCACTCCCCAAGTGAGCGCAACGGCCGATGCTATGCCAGTCCGAACCCAGGAGCCTCTTCTGGGTCTCCCCTGCAGGTGCAGGGTCCCAAAGCTTTGGGCCTTTTTGACTGCTTTCCCGGGCCACAGGCAGGGAGCTGGAAGGGAAGCGGGGCTGCCGGGATTAGAACCGGCGCCCATATGGGATCCCGGTGCGTGCAAGGCAAGAACCCTAACCACTGCGCCACCGCGCCGGGCCCGACCTATGATTTTTAAAAGAGCATTAATCTCAGACAAAAGTTATTATAGTACTTGCACAGTGTGTCTTTTTACTATAATTTAAAAGCATATTTATTGGGACCGACATTGTAGCATAATAAAGTAAGCTGCCACCTGTGACACAAGCATTCCATCTGGGCGCTGGTTTGTATCCCGGCTGTTCTATTTCCAACTCAGCTCCATACTAATGCTCCTGAAAAAGTAGTGGATGATGGCTCAAGTATATGTGTCCTTGTCACCTAGACCTAGTTTCAGACTCCTGGTTTCAGCATGGCCCAGCCTTGGCCATTGTAGGCCCTTGAGGAATGAACCAATGGGTAGAACAGTTCTCTCTCTCTTTCACTGCGTGTGTGTGTGTGTGTGTGTGTGTGTGTGTGTGTCCCTCTCTCTGTAACCCTGCCTTTCAAATAAATCCATCTTAAATCTTTAAAAATAAATACATAAAAATGTTTCTATGTATTTACAAAACAGAGAGAGACAGAGACAGACTGAGACAGCTCGCATCAGGTAGTCTGCTCCCCCAGAAGCTCACACTTGTCCCAGGCCAGGGAGCTAAAGAGCAAAGGGCCAGGAATTCAATCCAGGCCTCCCTTGGGGATGGCAGGTGCCCAACCATATGAGCCACCACTGCTGCCTCCCTGCCAGGGTCTGGACCTGAAGAGCCAGGACTTGAAGCAAGGTATTCTGCCGGTAGATGTTGGCACATGCTGGCATCTTAAACCATGTTTCAATGCTACGCCAAACTCTTGCCCCACATAAACTTTGTTTCTACCTTCTTGGTGGAATATTAATTTAACTTCTGTCCCTTCGTCAATTCTTTTGGTCAACTATATCCTTAATAATACATATTTTGTACCTCCTAAGCTACCTCCTAAGTTTCTGCTTTGTATACCTAACATTATAATTGTTACATAGACTATTGACAGCAATAGTTTTGAGTATCTGCATTTTACTGTTACTAAGGTAGCAAAATCCATACTCAATCATATAAAAATCCTTACCAACTACTATTGAAATAGTTTTGCTTATTTTAAAGCCTTCGCTGCTTCTACAAAAATTTCCGTAGACTTAACATTTAACTGACAAGTGTAGTAACAGAAACCTGATGAAATGTGACCTTTCCTGAAAGGGTTCATTTTCTAATTTCCAATTTCTTGAGACCTATTGGGTATAGCTGCTGCTAGTCTGTGGATAAGTGATGCTTAGAACTACTGTGCAAGATTATACAACTATAAAAAACTTATTTAGTCATTTTGTCAACAACTTTGAAAACAAAAATATCAGCACAATATGTATTCTCTCTTCTGAAAAACACTAATGACCATGTATACTACCACTAAAATGACTTCTGTTAAGTAACCAAATCTATGCATTACATTGTTTATATTTTTAATAAAACACATTTTTCAAAAGTATGTGTGGCCATTATGATTTTTATCATAAAATGACTCAATATTCTGAAATCCTTGAATGAAAATAAGAATATCTCAATCCAGCAATGTTGTTACCCGGAGCAGGTTAGCTGTCTGATATTTTGGTCATTCCAAAGTAAGTGAGAGTATACATTATCCAGGGGAGGAACAGCATCATTTGCTTATTTTGGTTTATTTTTGGGGGGGGGGAGGGGGATCTGCATCAAAATTTAACTTGAGACTTGTAAGTCTTTTAGACATTCTTCAACTCAGTTATGTCACTGTATTTAATTTTTTTGAAGAGGCTACATAATAAGAATTTTAATGAAGCTATTGATTTCCAATTGTCTTTTTTTTTTCCACATTAATTTTTTTTTTCTGTATCCGAGGTAAGGGCAGAGATGCAGGGAAAAGCCCCACCCAGCCTCCCACCCATCCCAGGTCCCCAATGGAGCATGCTCTGAGGGTCCTGCTCATGCAGTTTTGATAGTTCATCAGTTCTGAATTGCTGCCAATCTCGCTAATCCAAGCACAATGAAATATCTTTAGAATCCATTGGCTGACATAGTATCTTCATGGTTGGAATTCTGAGATCAGCAGTTCAATATTTTCTATTATTGTATTAAGTGTCATTTGATTAAAATGCACACATGCATGGTAGCATCTTGCCTCTTCCTTAAACATCTTTTAATGATCTACTACATACATCATTGAAGCCTTACTTTTCCCTCTTTTTACTGATATTCTTTAGATTTCTATGTATCTTGGATACCTTGAAATCTTCTCAAGAAAATCTTATTTGGATGAGTAATGTGACTTAAAATCAGGGGAAAAAGTAAGAGTGGAGATTCAAGAGTTACTTGGAAGAAAAACTGTTAATCTAGTTAAAGTGGAGCACCTTGCTTTCAATTTAGAAAGACTGAGTTATAATCTCCATTTACAAGGTGCAAAAGTCAAAATAAAAATTTTGATTTTTTTAACAAATAACTCATTTTATCTGAGAGACACAGGGAGGTAGGAAGGGGGAGAGAAAAAGAGGAAAGAGAGGCCTCCCATCTACTGCCCCCAACATGGGCAGGCCATGGCTAGCAGCCGGGAACTCAATCCAAGCGTGCCACGTGGTGGCCGAGTTCCAACCACTTGAGTTTTTACCTGCTGCCTGCCCGCACTGCAGCAGGAAGCCAGAATCTGGAGTGGAACTGAGGCTTGACCCCAAGCACTCTGACGTGGGACACAGGAATGTCTCAACTACTGGGCTAAGAGCCTGCCCCAGTTTCAATCCTTTAAACAAAGATTTTCTCATATGAAAGATATCATGGTGGATTGAAAAATCTCCCAGAGGAATACTCATGAAATTTGAGGCAAGCTTGTCCCCAAATTTCTTCTTTCCTTATACCATCACCTATGTAGCCACAAATAACAATAATAATTTGTCTTACTAGTTATTCACTCAATGATATGGACACTGAACTCTGTTAACACAATAAAAACATAAAAGAAACAAGCTGTGTCTCTTGGTTATGTGGGACTTAAAACATGTACAAGTAAAACTCCAACTCTGTAGGTCACAACTATACAAAGGGAACAGACATCCGTGCAAGTTTATCACCGGGAAAAGACACAGGACCCAATTCTTTATATCCTAGTACCCATTATTTCTGCTCATATGTCTTTTTTTTTTTTAATCACGTCAAACACGCTCTTTCTGTAGTTCTGGGGGAAGGAGTCCACTCAGCTGCTCCAACGTAAACCTCGTCAAGGCTGGGGCAGAATCCTCCCAGCGCTTCGAGCTCTGGTCCTGTAGTGCGGAGCTTCCAAGCGCTCACACATGAGCACCACTTCCCGTGCTTGTTCCCCTAGAACTTGCCGGGGCCGGCGGATGACACACGGTGAAGACGCGGCTCAAGACATGCACACGCCCTCGTGGGGTGTCTCCCTCCCACTCCGCTCCTGTCTCCAGCTTCCTGCTCATACACATCGGGAGGCAGTGCGTCATGGTCCACAACGTGGGGCCCTGTCACCCACACAGGAGGCACAAACTGAGTTCCAGGATGCTGGAGCCCTATCCCATGATGGTAAGGGAATCTGGTGAGGGAATCAGTGGATGGAATTTAACTGCCTCTGTCTCTCCCTGTCTATCTGCATTTCAAATGTAAAAAATATGTTCATTAATTACTTTGCAAAATCTAGCCAAAAAAAAAAAAAGATCAAACTAAATCCAGAGAGGGAAAGATTTAATCGATGGAAGACAACGATTTTGGGGAAAAAAAGAGAGAAAAGAAATTAAAACTGATTCTTTGAATAATCCACTTTAAAAAACTAAAAAAATTGGCACTGACTGATCAAGGGGAAAAAAAAGGATACAAATTACCAATATCCAGAATGAA